TTTCAGCGGAAGATTCATTCCGTTTTTGCCCATCCTGTGTGTGTGTGTGTGTGTGTGTGTGTGTGAGAGAGAGAGAGAGAGAGAGAGAGAGAGAGAGAGACGCCATCAGCGAGCGTTGCTGTGAGCCACGGCGTAGCCGTGGCGGCTTCCACTTGTTGCTCCAAATTGGCTCTTTACACGCCTGCGGAACATGACGATTTTCCTGGGCGGCGATCGCAAGACCCACCCTCTATGGACGTTTTTCAAGAGGTCGGCGACATCATCTCCCAGTGGCGCTACGGCAACAGGCCAACCGAGTACTTGGTACACTTTGCGTACTGCAGTCACACAGCTGACCGTTGGTTGACCCGTGCGGAACTCAAGGCAACAGCTCCGGATGTTCTCGCACGCTACGAACGCAAGATGCAAGGCAAGCCGGTATCCTCGGCCCCACGTCGCACCCGCATCCACGTTCCACCTTCAGATCGTCAGCTTTGCCCTCGCCCCGACTTGACTTCATAAGGAGGGGGGGGGTGTTACATGCTGCACCTGCAACAGGCTGCACAGGCCCCTTTCAGGCCTGTGACGTTGTCAGGCCAAAAGCCTGAAAACAAGGGCCTACAGGCCCCGTGTCGTTTCAGCCTGAAAGCCTGAAAACAAGGGCCTACAGGCCCTGTGTCGTTTCAGGCTAAATCAGGGCCTTTCCGGCCCTGAGTGTTTTCAGCCTGAAACTGAGGGCCATTTTCAAGCCCTCATCAGTTCGACCCTGCCTGAAACTCAGGCAACAAACCAGGGTTTTAGCACAGGCCATTTCGGGCCTGTTTTCAAGACAACCCCTGGTTGAGCTTCAACGCCAGAGTCTGGCACATTTCGGCATTGGCAAGAGCAGCCTCCTGGGCGGGCCAGCACTATATAGGACTGACCCGCCCTGCAGGCCGGCAGGTAGTTCCTAGGTACTTCCTAGGCACTTCACGTGCAGTTCAGGAGGCAGGAGGTAGTCTTCAGGATTCGGCAGCAGCACTCTAGAGGAGCGCTGCAAGAGTAGTAGTAACGCTAGCAGTAGTCTTCGGCGCTGGGTGCTAGTAGCGTTAGCAGTAGTCTTCAGCGCTGGGCACCATAGGAGCTAGAGTAGTACTAGAGAGAGAGAGATTGGGCGGAGGCCAGAGATACTTACCTGCAGCGCCGTAGCTCCAGCTTCGCCTTTGAGGTACCTGCAGCACAGCGCCATCATCACAGGTTAGTACCTGGCATATGAGAGAGAGAGAGAGTTCTCCTTCTTCCGCTTCTCAGTCCACCATCTCCCTCTCACCCTCTCGCTACCTGATTTCACTACATCAGTAGACTACGAGAGAAAGAGAGAGCTTGGTGACATTTGGATCCAGACTCGACATTTGGGATTCAGACATTTTGACGAGGGATTATTTGGGACTTGTAACAAAGACTTGGTGTTGACGACATTCCCATCTCTCCCCCTCTTCTTCGNTTGACGAGGGATTATTTGGGACTTGTAACAAAGACTTGGTGTTGACGACATTCCCATCTCTCCCCCTCTTCTTCGTCTGTTCCCCTCCTCTTCGTTTGTGCATGATCTGGACCTGGCGCCTTCTTCCTGGGTATAGCGCCAGGCCCCTTCACACCTTGTGGTTAGAATGATGTATGTTGGGTCTGCGTTGTAACGTTGATTGGGCTAGTCATTTAGTATCCTAGCATTCTGCTGTGCTGTCTTGCACTACGTGATAGAGGTCAGTCCCGGTTAGGTCAGGACTTGTATCTAAGTCTTCCACTGCGCTATAAAGCACCATTTTATATGTATCAGAATGCACACTGCTTGTTGAGATTCTACTTGCACTGCATTGTTCATTCGGTCCTTCAAATCACATTGCGGATCCTTGGTTATATATGTACATCGCCCAATTGGGCATGTAAGAGCCGGGCTGCTGGGTGCTAGGGGGTAGGAGGGCGATCAGGTGGTCTTCAGAGAAGGAGGCGCTGTGTGGGGTAATCAAGGTCTGATTGAGGGTGACAAGATTCGTAGCTGGTGCATGAAGAGAAGTTGGCGATGGGGTTGACAGTCATGCACATCGGTCTTCAAGAGTCGAAGTGAGCCTGTTGCGTGAACCAGCTGGAGGTAGGATAGTCGGGTAGAGTAGGCCGGGTGCTGGGCGCCAAACAGAGAGCAGCGACTTTGGATACTGTGTTGGTGTGGCCTACGGGCTTGGACATTGACTCGTTACTTCATTGCATTGCTCTATATGGATGGTTTTCTTGGTGCATTTGTACTCTCTGCTTGGACACGACTACTTGGACATCTGTGTGATTTCGCAACTTGGTTTTCTGTATATCGTTCACACTCATATTCCTTGCATTCTTCTTCTTCTTCTTCTACTTCTTCATCGTCGTCGTCGCCGTCGTCGTCTTCTGCTGCTACTGCTTCTGCTGCTGCTCCTGCTACTGCTGCTGCACTTGCTTATCGCTATTCTTCTCCCCTTCTTTCCTCCTCCTCCTCCTCCTCCTCCTCCTCCTCCTCCTCCTCTTCTTCTTCTTCTTCTGCTGCTGCTGCTTCTACTGCTTCTGCTGCTGCAGTTGCTTATCGCTATTCTTCTCCGCTTCGTTCCTCCTCCTCCTCCTCCTCCTCCTCCTCCTCCTCTTCTTCTTCTTCTTCTTCTTCTTCTTCTTCTTCTTCTTCTTCTTCGTCTTCTTCGTCTTCTTCTTCTTCTTCTCCTTCTTCTTCTTCTTCTTCTTCTTCTTCTTCTTCTTCTTCTTCTTTCTTGCTTTCTTCTTCTGCTTTCTACTTCTGCTTATGCTGCTGCTTTCTTCGTCTCTCTTTTTCTTTCTTCTTCTGTCTCTTCATACTTCCTCTTTCTCCCCTTCTCCTTCTTATTCTTTCTTCTTCTTTCTTGCTTTCTTCTTCTCTGCTGCTCTTCTGCTGCCCGTGTTCTCTTCTTTTTTGTTTTCTTTCCCCTCTTCTTTTTCTTCTTCTCCTTCGTCTTCTGCTCATTCAAGCTTCAATTTCTTTGCAAAATCTAAAATTTGGTATTTTTCTTTCGTGTTTTAATAAAAAAAAAGCAAAAGCCCCAAAATCGAATCAAAAGAAAAGAGAAAGCAAGTGCATTGGGGGTACCCACTTGTCGTTTCGGCTCGACAACTTTTGCGACTTTTGCGTAAACGTCCATGGCTCGAACCCACATGCAGAGGCTCTTCGCCGCGTTCGATTGTTTCGCTACCAGCTCCGGAGTGAACTGCGGGTCTTCAATGTACTTGGCCAGCTTCTTCATCGTGGCAGTCGATATGCCATCCTTGTTAAACTCCACCAGCCGCTTGATGAAACCCACGTCTCCCATTATCTGCCGTAGATTATCACACGGGGGAAGGGGAGAGAGGATGAGGAGGTCAAAGCACATTCACGAGGCGAGGAACTAAGAGTTAGAGCGGCATAGGACCAAGATAACGCATGGGGAATGGAGGACGAAGACGAAGACGAAGAGGGAGGGAGGGAGGGAGGGAGGGAGGGAGAGAAGAAGGAGAAGGTAGGGGGAGGAGAAAGAAGGATAATGAATAAGGAAGAAGATGGGTGGAGAGAGGGGGGAGGAGGAGGAGAAAGAGGGATAAGCAGCACAGGTTAGTTCTCATTGGGAGGAACTGAGACAAAAAAAAAAAAGAAAAAGAAAAAAAAGAATGTAGCTGAGCCAAAATACAGTATCTTTGAGGCCTTTGCAACCAGACTCGTCTTTTTCCTTACTCAGAACGCATGGGAACAGATGGCAATCACACTGGTGCCAGGCGCCCACACAAAGCTCAGAGATACTGATGCCAAGAACACAGTTCAGATTCAAACTTGCTTCGAATGGCTATGGCGCCTGTCCGCCCTGACAACAACCTCCTGACACTGTATTCCCAGCAACTGTTCCCACACACACTACCCTGGATCTCCCTGGATGTCCCACATGCGCATACACTTTACAGAACACTCGCACACATACACGCTATAGCCTATCTCTAACCTACAGCAGCTATGGCTGCCTCCTACTCCCTACTACTAGCGGTTATGGCCGCTTCGTCTCTCTCTCGGCCCACTTCTCCACGGACACCTGCAGACCTCCTTGCACAAGTCGCTCAGGCAGCACTTCCGCACGGCTCACAGGCTGAATGAATGAATGACTGGACGCTGCCTCTTGATTTATACTTCGGTTGATCGCTGGTCTGCTCCTTTCCACTGGGGCCAGGGTGCACACAGTCCCACATGGTACTTGCTGGCTGTGCAAAGTGCGACCTGGACTGGGTACCGCTGACTAGGTGAAGTTGGACTGCCAACTTGCCCACTTGCCTCTAGCCTCACTTCAACAATTCTCGAAAGGCCACTTCTGGACCTTCCGGAAGTCTGTAGACTTGGCCTTTTGGGACTGTAGCAGCTACGACCTTGATCTTTCAGGACTGTAGCAGCTACGACTTCTACACAGCCACGACCCCTACTCGACAGACCTACTGATCGACACCCGACGACCACATTAACCTACCACAGGCAACAAGCGACTGTTAAGACACAGGTCACGGGTTCAAACACACAGGGTCGACTTGGTACTGTACACGGGTGAGGGCAAGGTGCCATGACTTGCTGGTTTCTGGTCGTCTGTAGCCTCTCTCTTGTCGAGGCTGTACCATCTGTAGGTTAGATTCGTAATTTTGTTTGGCTGAGGGCTAACCGAAAGACCTGCCTGTAAGGAAATTCGTTAGGGACAGATCTGCGAATTTGGGAAAATATAGGCCCATACTAACTAGAATTCCTACAGCTACCCTAACTGCAAATAGCAGGCCCGGGCTACCCCTAGGACAGACAGGCCCTAAGGGCCTAAGCTGATAGACGGTCCTATAGCCTATAGCCAGGTTGGGAGAGGCCCTAGAGGCCGAGACAGAAACGGTATCGGTCGGTCAGTCAGTCCGGTCTAGGTCGAATCTAGGCTAGAGTAGACTATAGATAGGTTGGGCACATCGGTTCAGGGCTTTTGGCGGTTGGTACCGAGTACATCGCTGCTGTGCTATGCGTGAACCGGAAGTGGTGACGGCTCAGCGTTGAGGGAGACAGACATAGCCAGACCTTCGGAGCACCGGCCATAGCTGGGACCTGCGCTGTACTCTGTCAGCATGTGGGGCTGTACAGAGGTCTGGGCTATTCGAGGTCTGCTGGAGGCGAGAGAAGTTGGTGCCCTGCTGGACCCTCCTCCGGAGTAGGGTTACAGGGTTGTGGCGCTGCAGCCATAGCTGCAGCTTCTTCCTCAGAGGTCATCTTGTCAGGAGTGGTGGCGCTGCTGCAGACTTCCACTCGGGAAGTCTTCCGACACTTCGTCATCATCAGATACTTTGGCGTTGGTCTTCTTCTTCATCCTCTGAGGGGCGCTTGGCCTCAGAGGCCTGTTTCAGGGTGACGCTTCCCTCTGAAGACTGTATCTTGGTGGCGCTTGATGTTTCAGGTACTCAGGGGTAGTAATAGCGGTTCAGCTGGGTTGGGGAGTGAAGCGCTGCTCATTTCTGAGCAGCGCACCATAGTTCTGGAGTGTTCCTGACAATTCAAGACTTTGAGTTTAATAAAGAGTGTTGATATTGGGTTCATACTATCATCGTTTCATTGTTTCTTGGATGTGATCTGCTCGACTTTCCTTTATGACTGGTTGTGAGGATTGAGTGGAGTGAGTTGCACTTTCAGTGTACCCTGCCATATCGCATGGTCAAGTCTTTCGCTGTGTTTATTTCTTCCTGTGCGGTGTGATACTCCTATCCTCTCCCTTTCCTTCTATGTATGTATGGGCATACCTGGGAGTCTATGTGAGTGAGTGTTGGTCTTTAGACAACTAGAATCATAACAATTGTATCAGAGCGATTGGATCCAGACTCTGGAACGATTGATGAGTTGGAGCAACTGTCACTATCTGGCGAGACACTGGAGTTGAGTTTCATGGCGATTTATCATCTTCAGGGTTTGCGACAGTGAGGGTGGTGGTAGTGAGTGTGTGGCGAGAAGAATTGGACAGAGGGTGACTCACTCCTGCGTAGGGTTGTGCAGGAATGGTTGGTGATTGATGCTCAGAGGCCCGAGAGGCTCTGAAAGGCTATTTTTAGCCTGGCGATTCATCTAGAGGTTGGCGATTGGCAAGGAAGTGATCCCATAGTGTTGCGATTTTGGAATTGGGTCAAGATCCCCAATTTCCAAGCAGCGTTGTACAGGGTGAAGTGGCACTGCACTGAGTTACTCAGTTATCAACATCTAGGAGTCTGAATTTTGTGTTTCTGTCAGTTGAGGGTGAAGCGCCTTAGGGTAAGCTGCTAGATCACCAAGTTTAGGAAGTTTGGTACGTGGGAACACTGGGAATGATTAGGGTATGAAACTAGCGAGATGGGGTTGACCAAACAGCCATAGCCAGAGTTTCATTCATCTTCTTCAGAGATAACCCTGAAGTAAGTGTGTTCCTTACTCGACTCTGTGTGGCGATTCTGGGACTATTTTTAGATTACCGAAATATGGTATGTCAGTGTGTTGACAGTTGAAAATCGAAATTCAGACTGTGAGACAGCCATAGCCAATTTCCCCTACCTAGCTTCTTTGACTTCTACTAACCCTATTTGACCTCCTTGACTAAAATTTGATCTGTGACTACTTTACAGTATTGCGATTCATACTCTGTGGTGAATTGGTGAGTTCAGGGTTCTGTTGTCAATGATAATGCAAATTTGAATTTTGTGCTGCCATAGGTGGAGCTTGGCTAGACTAGGGTCAGTCATAACTTCACTTATGTCTGCCAGAATTCAATTATGTCAGTCCCTAGTAAATCGCAATTCAGTCTACAGTCATTGTTTGAAATCGCACCATCAAGTTTGATGTTCTGAGTCAGTTACATTGAGTACCGTAATTCGCCATACCTAGAGTATGGCATACAGGGTCATACAGTGGTAAAGTTTGTAGGGCAGGTCTAAAAATAGGTTTACCTGTAAATCGTTGCACCTTGGTTATCAGTGGACACCTGTCTTTCCCTAATTAGTCACTGTGTCTAATTACTAATCAACACTAATCAGTCCAAGACTGCGTCCTGTACGTTATTGATGCAGGAATTGCAATTATTGCGTGCAATTGTTGGTTCACGGCAGTGATGGGAAAATCATGAAATGAATTTCTACGAAGTTATTCTAAACTGACCCTGACCCTCAAGCGGTCTGCAGAGACTGAACACTCACGTGCTCAGATTGACCAACTTTCTCTCTCCAGGCAAGTGATAGCAATTGAGTAAGTATTGAAGAGAAAACTCAATTCCTATTGCCTCCTGTTCTGTCTTCTGTTTTAGTGTTTTTCATTACTTTCTGCATTGTGGAAATGGCAGACGCTGAGAAGGGGGAGGCTTCTGATGTGAAGCCTCAAAATTTGCTTGACCCTTTAAAGGCCGAACTGCGTGTCGAGGAGGAGAAACTCCACCTACAGGCACTGGCAGTTGAGGCTCTAAAGGCCGAGCTTAAAAGAAAAGAAGAAGCAACTTAGAAGGAGGCCAGGAGAAAATTGTTGATTGCTGATTTTGAGCAGATCAGGACGAGTGGTACTTCCAGCCAGTATAATAAGGACATGGCTGAGTCCATCCTTTTACAGGATGATATTCACCGTTCTTATTTTACTAACTGGGACGAGAGGATCACCAGTCTGGAGAGCAGCCACTCAACTTTTTCCAAGAAGCTAGATGACATCTCTTCCAAACTGGATCTGATCTTTACACATTTAAAGATCCCAACCACCCTGACCGTTCCTCCATCTACTGGGCCCTCCCAAGCAAACCCTCAACAACTCCCACAATCCAGACCTACATATCCTCCCTCGACACCCAAGTCAGCAACACCTTCACAACCCTCATCTCCATTTGATTTTCAACAGCCCAAGCTGACCCCTCCACCTATGCTCTCTAGTGAGGACCCAAAGGTCGATGTAGCAGATTGGGTCACTGCATAGCGAACCTACCTGATTGGGTTCAAATGTGAGGAGAACATGAAGGTGAGTGCCATCTTGGCTTGCCTGGAGAAGACTGCACTGAAATGGTGCACCTCTACCTCCAACAAGCAGAAAATGCAAATGGCTGATTGGAGGCAGAGGGTGGGGGTGTCTGGTTTTCTTCAGGCACTTCAAGATAGATTTTCAAACAAGGAACATGCCAGAAAAGCAGTGGATACAATTCTGCAGTTGGGTCAGAAAAGATTTGATGGTTCCTTGTCGAAACTCTATTCAACCTTTGCGAGTCTTACATCGACTCCTAGGTTAGAGATGAGTGAGCAGGACTTGCTCATTCATTTCTTGAGAGCAGCGCCTGAAAGATACCAG